AAGCTTAAGAACCATTATGAATATTTTAATAGTTAATCTTCACGAACCAAAAAGATAGTTTTTTTTTCAACGAAAATCTCACGAGGCAAATAGAGACTTCCTAAGATAATCCTTAAACCAAACAAGAGCTTTTACTCGCTTAGCTCGTAACTAGAATAATAACTTACTACTGAAGAAATATTTACTCAAGAGATAATACACTCTTTATAAATTTACAAATAAGCTCTGAACCAGAAAAAATATCCTCACTTAGACTCAAGAATACTCTCGAAGCACTATAGCTAAATATATGTGAGAAAAATGAGAGGTTTAGTAAAAATGATGAGAAAAATGAAAAGTGATGTGTAAACTCATTTTTTTGGATGTGAAAACATGATAAAGAAGATCTCTATTTATAGGTCAAGGTGTGTATGTTGTGTTTGTGTGTTGGTATTTCAGTCACTTTAGCCACATGCCATTTTTAGCGTTTATGACAGCTCCCCGAGTCTTTGTAACAAGGCTTTTATCTTTTTCGGACTCATCTCTACCTTTCATGATAAATAGAAAATATAATTTAGTGATAAATTTCTTCTTTACTTAAATATTTGTATAACATAATACATTTCATGCCTTTCTTTACAATAAAAGAGAATAAAAGGATAACATAACCAGGTGGCTATAACTACGATGGTCGCCCATTTCGATGTCTCTCAGATACTTATCAATGGCAGAAACTCTTACAACATAATGTATTTAGAGTTGTTTGAGAAGATGAGTCACAAAAAGGACAATTTATAGTAGTATAAAGGGTCTGACTTGAAGGCGTTTAATGGAATGAAAACCCGTCCATGGGGGTATGTAGAATTAATGATTTTTGTGGAAGAAGAAGGGATGTTCAAACTGTGAGCTTGTAATTCCTTGTGGTCCCTGGTAAGAGTGTACACAATTGAGTTCTTGGAAAATCTTTCGCAGCTGCCCTTGATCCCATGACCCCACCTGTCCATCTAAAACTCAAATTCCACAATCTTCACAGTGAGCCAATCACAACCAATGCTGACCTTGAGGAAGCCAAAATGATATACTAAGCACTTCAACAAGACCAAGGGGAGTGTGAGGCCATGAAGATTAACGTAGCTTCCTTAACCGACCAACTAAGGAGCATGAACATCTGACCTCCCTTAAGTGGATGACCCGACGGGATCGAAAGTAGGGAGAATAAGTGGCGTCGAGCCCGCCCAATTACATTTTAAAATTTATATTTGATGTTATTTCTAGTATAACTAATTCCCTCACAAAGTGTATTGTGACATCTCAATTATTAATAAACAAAGCGCATAATTTGAAGTATTTAATTTCTTGGTGACTGTATAAGGTAACAAAGAAACAAAGTGCAAAACACCCACCCACCCACAGAGAGAAAGTGGTAAAACCACTAAATCAACAATAACATTCCACCTCCTCTTGGTAGCTAGTCGTTCTAAAGGCCACAGTAGGTTGTCCATACGTCAACCTCGACCAGGTTTACACCTAGTGAGAAGAGGTACCGACCCTTGATCAGGCACGCCCCTAAAGACGCCCAATAAACTTCGAGGGAGAACCTTATAAGTTAGCACAAAGTCTAGAGCAATTGACTCGAGATCAAATACATAAGCCTTAATCAGGTAAAATAAATATTACAACGTCAATTTCATTCACCCACATTTCTCCAATGTAGGGTGTTATGTAGTAAAGATGAGAAAGACACAACCGATCTCTAAGCAAGGTGACTTTTCTATCTTTGAGAATCTGGTCCGACCGCACTTGCTCCATTGAAATAAGTAGGCGAGAGTAAAAATACTCTACTTTCTGCAAAGTATTTTCAAATGACTATGAGAAGGTTTGCGAGACTAGAATTGGACGATTCATTTATTTTCTGAGCCAATGAGACATTCTCAAGATGTGGGTTTTCATGGTCCCCTTGAACAGCGGAAAAAGATTCCTTATAGATGACAAAGTGGCTCGTGCAGAGCTAGGGCTTTATCCTTCCTTTTTATTCCCCTCACCAAGAGCATTACCTGATTTACTAATGATTCAGGGAGATTGAGGGCACATAAGGCCTCACTTATCATAGTAAGAGAAACAAAAACTTTTCTTGTAGGCACATATCTCGTTGAAGAGTCAAGTTACAAACACTCTCCTGCAACAATTGTTTCTCCTTGAGACGCTGATTAAATATGAGAACATCCCAACGACCGACCCCACCAATGGCCATAACAATAGAAGTGTGTCGCGTGTAATATGTCAGACTCAAAAATTCCCCCTTGAGAGCCTTGTTAGTCAGATTTACAAGGTAAGATTAGTCCTCCTCTAAACTAGACACCCAATGTTCTTTCAAATTAAAGGGTCCCGGTCTATCCAAAAGGAAAAGAGGCAGAGGACATGCCATGTGCAACACCTGATGAGAACCACTTACGACACCTACATCGATGAGGTTTCTCCTCGAGAATTTAGCTGAAAGGGCCAAGATGGAATCCTCGCTATCCCATTCGAAGGAGGAACATCAACCGACATTTAAGAATGTGAGAAAATAACAATAGCCATGGAAATTCAAATTCCCCGTCTTAGTTAACAAACCGCTTCCTCGTTCTACATTGAATATGCAAATAATAATCACTAAATTCAAGATCCTTACAGACATACGAACTGACGACAATGGGGAAAGAATGTTGGGAACTGACTAAAAATGGTCTTCCTCTTCTCCTTAGTACGAGTATCCATCAACATGCGGGTTTCAATAAGGTGTTTCAAACGTTTCTTTAAAGTTTCATCCCGAGGAGTAATGCCATTGACATGATCCAGTTATTTAATGAAGGTGACCAACTGTTTCTTCAAATAAATCTCCTCTTGGGACAACTCAATCTTCTTGTAGACATATAATCCATTCTCCGTCAAGATATGACCCTTGTTCAAGTACTTTTGAAACTAGTTGGTACACAGATCTTTCGTCTCGGTCCCTGAGGTACACACTATTGCATGAGCCTCTTTTTAGAGAGGGACATTCAAGAAGAATTGATTTTCAAAATGCTCCAAGTTCCCTAAAAATACTTTAAAGCAACGAATAACTTGCACTAGCGTGATCAAGCCCTGACCTTGTGTATGTTTTACTGAACCACATTGCAATATAAAAACATGAAAGAAAAGAGACAAGGAGGTTTTTCCTCCAAGGTATTCACACCAATATTGGAAGACTTTGATATACGCCTAACTTAATGGGTTTAACTGCGATGGAGTAATCATCAAATGGTTTGAAACTTCTATCTCAAATCTATTGAAGGGAAAACGAAAACCCAAGATAAAAAAAATAGAGGGGAATGACACATTTATCATACTCACTACAAATCCTTTTGTCTTCATCAGAGGTCAATACATCTCAATCTGAAAAAGGACCTACATTCAGAAAGACATTGTCAAGACTACATTCGCGAGCAAAGATAGAAGTAGTTCCTAAAATGGCAAGATCATCCTAAGAAGTAAAAGCATTTTCTTTCAACTTTTTACTCATAATGAGACTACATATTTCGATAAATAGTATGGTGTGAAGATACATATGACAAATAAGCAAAATAATGTCTAAAGAAACTGTAAAATTAACTCCCTAAGAGGTCACGTGGTGACTTATCTAAAATAGTGAGCATTAACAAAAACCCAGATCGCCTCAGAGAAACACTCAAGTATTTTATTTTTCAAAGATCTTTATGACAAAACCTAGGAAAAGACGTCTACATCATGAGGCGCGTTAAAGGCGTGAATTTTCAATAACATTTAAATCACCTCTTGACTCTCCATTTAAGTTGGGATGTATTTGGCACGAATAGAAAACACGCACTGCCAAACAACGACGAGAGATTGAGAACAACTATTCTTGGTCGGCCAGAAGGGCCAAAGACCGCGCGACATAGAGAAAATAATAATTCGCCCACAAGTTTGTTGCCTAAGAGATTACCATGATGAAGAGCTTAAAAGATTCAAATCTAGGATACATCCAACGACTTCCTGCATCCCACACCTGTAGATAACAAGTTGTCATAACCGTTCCAATATATTAAGAGCACACACGCCAATTTTCATTTACATAATTTTTAATTCAAACTTCATTCACTCATCTCTTTCACATATTAACTTAAGCGTTGAAGTGTTAATCTTGCAGGTCAACCTCTCCTTTAACTTTAGCGTATAAGAAAGTTAAGTCCATATTGCATACAACAAACTCCATTCTCTGAATAATTTTGATTCTATAACATAACAATATTTATATTTTTATTAAATATTTTCATAATAACATATGTACAAATATTTAATGTCTTGTTTTTTATTTATTATTTTTAGTATATGTATATTGGATTGATATCCAACAAAACTTAGTTACTAAAGAATTTCCTTTAAAGTCACCATATAGTTTTTTTATCACCACTATACATATAGTTAATCAATGTTTTTGACATCAATATCCGTTCAAAGTAAGGTCATTGCAACTAGTTAAAAAGATTCTAAACAACATCTAAACACATGAAGACAATTAAATAAAAAGATTCATGCGGTAAAATAATCCACAAGTTGTAGAAGTTTGAAGAAGAAATTCCATAAACTAAATCCGTGATTGAAAGACAAAGTAACCAACCTATTCATGTAGATTCTGAAGTCACAATAAAATGACAAAATGTTAGAAATTGAAAAAGAAGTGAGTGTGGGTGGGGAGGTGGTGCTATGTGTGACAATGTGTGGTGGATGTTAAGGGTCGGTGAAAGTGAAAGCAAATACCAAAATCAAACCCAATAACAAAATTTATAACTCATCTTTATAAAAATATAGCAAAAATTATTAAAAAATAAAATTGTTCTATATATGGTCACCTCAACCAAAGTCCATATATACCCCTCTCCTCCACACTTCCCCATCATCAAAGTATCTTCCTTTCTCTCTTCTCTGTCTTCTCTAACAACTTTCATTCTTGTTAACTCTGTTGTCTCAAAAGGGTAATCCCAATGGCAAAAGACGTTGAAGTTGCTGAACGTGGCTCTTTCTCCAACAAAGACTACCACGACCCTCCTCCAGCACCACTCATTGACGCTGAAGAACTCACAAAATGGTCCTTTTACAGGGCCCTTATTGCTGAGTTCATTGCCACTTTACTTTTCCTTTACGTTACTGTTTTGACCGTGATTGGTTACAGTATCCAAACTGATGTTAAAGCTGGTGGTGATGAGTGTGGTGGTGTTGGTATTCTTGGTATTGCTTGGGCTTTTGGTGGCATGATCTTTGTTCTTGTTTACTGCACTGCTGGAATTTCAGGTTTGTTTTTCTTCAGATCTCTTTGGTTTTGCTTCATTGGAGTAATGTTAGAAGTTTCTGGTTTTAGTAATGGTTACTATTTTTGCATTTTGGGTGTTTGAAAAAATGTTTACATGAGTTGAATCTCTTGTAGGGGGTCACATTAACCCAGCAGTGACATTTGGGCTATTTTTGGCTCGGAAGGTGTCTTTGATCAGAGCGGTTATGTACATGGTGGCTCAGAGTTTGGGGGCTATTTGTGGAGTTGGGTTGGTTAAGGCTTTTCAGAGGTCTTACTTTGTTAGATATGGTGGTGGAGCTAATTTTCTTCATGATGGTTATAGTACTGGTGTTGGATTAGGTGCTGAGATTGTTGGTACCTTTGTTTTGGTTTACACTGTTTTCTCTGCTACTGATCCTAAGAGAAGTGCTAGAGATTCTCACGTCCCGGTATGTTTTCAATTCATTTTTTGTTATAATTTTTCTGTGTAATGGTTTTTCTTTTTTGTTGATTTGTTTTCAAATGCATATATGAATTTAGTATGAACTCTAGAATATATCATGTATGTATGACTATTACATGAAATAGTATGAGTTAGCAAGTTTGATATGTATATCTTTAGGGCATGGTTTTAAATCGCGATTGTGGTCGGGTGTTGCGATTGTGGTCATTCTGAGTGTTGCAAATGACATTGCAGTTGATGTAATGTGAATTTTGATTGAGAAGAGTTTAAAATATACTCTGAATAAACAAATCTTAAGATTTTTAAGAAATTAATTGGGTTTTGGGTTCTCAATTTAGAATTTTGAAGAAAATAGTCAAAATCCAAAATTTCAAATGACATCTCAATTTTTGCGAAGTCTTAACTCTTGAACAATATTGCAGCCGCAATTTCATTAGAATTTAAAAGCAATTTAAAACCATGTATTAGAGTTCTTTGGTTGGTTGAAATGCATCCCTCCTAATTTCTAGGTGCGTCAAATTTTATGAATTTCTTATCACCAATGGGAAAATCAAATCAAATCATATATTAATTTAATATGATATATACACATAAAAAACATACATATAGTTAATTTCAAGTCTTCAAGAAAATGATTTCAAATTGGCAGTACGTGTATGATTATATTAGTATTATATTAACAAGTTTGAGCATGTTTGCTTTTTTGTACTTTTGCTGTATTTTTAATTAATTACTTTTCAAGACAATGATCTGAAATTGCTTTTGAGCAAAGAAAATACAATAGTGTTTTTTTTAATGCTAGTAGCCTAAAATATAGGGTAATGTTCAGTGTTTATGATTTTTTACCTACTCCTTTGCTTGGCTTCTTATAGTCAACATCTTTGATTTTAAGTTTTCCAAAAGATGTCAAAGTCATAATTAATTTCTCAGTGGTTACTTACATCTTTTGGTTCACCTAGAATCCTAGGGTGATAAAGTAAAGGTATCTTTTTCCTTTCTTTCATTCACCATAATAATTTCCAAATGAAATGATGTTGTTAATGACACATAACACCAGCGTGCGTTTGTGGAATATGAGGTCCCCATTACCTTGTTTGAGTTTATGGTTTTCAAAAAGTGGATTCTAATTGTTTCCTTGAAAACAAAAGGTGTTAAGTGTTAAGTTTGAGATTAAAATTAAAGTTTTCAATGACTTCTATATGTCATTGTCCTACAACGCTGGCAAATCAAATTGGAATTTCTAGTTTCTTCCTTTATTCTTGATTTGTCCTTATCAGATTTTTTGGTTTATATATTGGAGTACCTTGAAATACTTTTTCACTAGATTCTTCTAATAAATAAAGAATAAAATCATGGGTTTCACATGCATGCATATCCCATCTGTCCCAACTCCATTTGTTTTTGTCACATTATTTATATTTTTCTAGTTATTTGTATTCATGTGTTTGGAATATGTTTGCATCTATTTTGTTTTTTGGGTCAAGTAGCACTGACTCGAATTCACCTGTGAACAAGTAGTCTATCGCGTATTCGAATCTGCACTTCTATATCTCCTTGCACGGCTATCCGAATTTGCACAGCAATCCACTGAACTGGTTTAAAAGGACTTTATCTAATGTTTTTCTATGTATGTGAAGGTTTTGGCTCCACTTCCCATTGGATTTGCTGTATTCATGGTTCATTTGGCAACCATCCCAGTCACCGGAACCGGCATTAATCCTGCTAGAAGTCTTGGTTCTGCTGTAATCCTCAACCAAGATAAGATCTGGGATGACCATGTGAGTTTTTTTCCCTCTATATTTTCTTTTGAGTCGAGCTATAGCATCAAATTTGCTGCGAGTTCTAACATATTTTTGTTTCATGTATTTTGATAGTGGATATTTTGGGTTGGACCATTTATCGGGGCAGCCATTGCAGCGTTCTACCATCAATTCATCTTAAGAGCAGGTGCTGCAAAAGCTCTTGGATCATTCAGGAGTAGCAATGCTAATTGAGTGCTAATGGAAAGAAGATGAAGCAAGAGTCAAAGTAATTGATACTATTTGCTTTGTATTTGCAAGTTTGCAACCTCTCTCTCAATTGTGTAATCATGATTTGTGGATAAGTGTTAGGTTAAAAAGTCTCTTTCGTTACAGAGGGAGCCTTTTTACACTGTCCTCTGTATTCTCTTTAGTGTGTCATCTTTTTCTTTTTTCTAAGTTATTCTCTTCTGTAATCCTTTGTACTCGTTAAATATTTATGGAAACAATTTCAAGTTTAATGAAGATAAATATTTTAGTGCACATTTATCCAATATAGTGTAGTAGTATATTGTTTTAACAATGTGACAAGTACACACTACTTTATGAAAAGTAAGAAACACTTCAGTGTAGTGTTTGGTCTAGTCACATTACTGCAATGTACCTGGTAATGGTATTAATCTCTCTCACAGGAATACATGTTTTATTAGCAACAATTTATAATATTTGGAACTAGAAAACAATAGTACAATTAATACGTTTTGCTTGAACAAGAAAAAGTAACGTAGAAGATTGATTTTTATAGAGCTATTGCTACATTTGATATTATGTGTGATGTATGAAATATTTGGCTATGGTCGTAAAGTGATTTCTTTTTTAAATTTGGTGTTGTGAGTGGTTGCAAAACGTTATTTTGGTACTGGATAAATAAGGTAGTTTCTTAATTATGAGATTAAACACATCTATAGTAATTTGTTTATTTTCTTTTGAGTGTAACATTTTTCAAGTGTAATGTTTTGGAAACCGAATTGACATAATTTTTAATAATTAATGTGTGTCCATGCTACTACGCCAAGTGGCCATATTAGTGCAATGGCTAATTTTACTGTTATCTTATTTTCCTCAAAAGTTGTATGGGAAGTAGTTGATATTTACTTTTAAAGCGTGACTTTAGGGAGTTGATAGCATGGAGGCATGGATCACATGAGAATATTTTGCCGGTTATAATTATGTGTATATATCCAAAACTATATATATTTTTAACAGCAATTTTATTAAATGAAAAGAGCATTAGGGTGCTCTAACCGAAAAAGATTAAGAAAAATTCTCTACCAACGACAGTTATTAAGACAAATTATGAAATAGATTTGAACATAAATCTAGATAATTAACGTTGCGATGAGGAATTTCTCCTATAACTTGACTTCCAAATAAAAAACTTAGCATTCCAAACTATATTTTCCATTACACACTTAATATTATTAAAAATAACGTCGTTTTTCAATTTTCAAATGCACCAAGCGTCCGCCAACTAAATAATGTCCAGATACCCCTTCCTAGACAGCCTAAAAAAGAACAGGTCCCATAAAAAAAAAATCCCAAGAAGGTCCAGCTGCCCTAACATCGAAACCCAATAAATTACCACTCTTTTTCCATATTAGCTTGGAGACCGAGAAGTTAAAAAATAAATGATCGATGTGTTCCTTCTCCTCAAGACCTAAGACACAAACATCATCATTAAGTGACCATTGCATACCTTGCTTTTCCAATTGGTCTTTAGTTGCTAATCTATTTAAGAGAATCCGCCATCCAAAAGCTCTAACATTTGTCGGCGCCTTCGACTTCCACAACAACTTGAAAGCTCTGCCCTTTCCTGCTTCTATGACTGGCTGTTCTTTGGCTTCCAAAATTAATTTGTATCCACTGGCAGCAGAGTAACAGAATAAATCTTGTGAAACTCGATCCGTTCCTTCACAGCATGCCTTGATGCCTTCGTCTCCTCTTCACAGCCAGTAACATCATTCATACACCACTTCACCTTATCTTCTTTGTCCGCTACAGGACTAATACTACCAACAAACAATAGAAGTTCATGCAAACTATTTCGAAACAATTCCACGTTCTGCCCTTGTATTCCAAAGTTTCCCCACTTCCAACCAGAATCCGTCCAACTCCCCATATCCTTAATGTAACCATCTTTTGAATGACTTATTGCATACAACTCCGAAAAACGATATGCCAACAGAGAATCCCCATCCCAAACATTAGTCCAAAAACGAATTTTAGAACCATCTCCAATGATGAACTGCGCAAAACCTGCAAAATTGAAACCTAAATTAGAAGAAATCACTCATAGCTTAGCCAAGTCCTTCCACCTAATTGATGACGGAATCGACCCACTGCTGCTGTTTGATAGAATGACTTTATCATATTCGACATTTCTTGCTACAATGATTCTTTTCCACAAAGCTTCCTTTTCGACGAGAATCCTTCACTTCCACTTCGATAAAAGAGCCAAATTAAGTTCCTTTAAACTTCTAATGCCAAGGCCTCCACGATCTTTGTCTTTGCAAATCGATTCCCAACTCACCCAATGGATCTTGGATTTCTCCTTTGAACCTCCCCAAAAAAACTTCTGTCGAATCTTATCAATAATTTTTCTAACTTACCTCAAAAAATACGATCTTCGCGATGCACAAAACTAGGGTTTGCACGACCACTGATGGACTTATGAGAGTCGCCACCAAACTTTATTTATTCTACAGAGAAAAGGAAAAATATTGAGAAAATCCGCGGGGAAAAGGATAGGGTATGGTCATTGCAACCATGTTGGGTTCGGAAGTCAGTTATGTAAGGAGAAGCTGCTAGGACTCCCTACATCCATCGTACTCGATGGAAACCATCTAAGTTGTCTAGACATGAATACCCAATATCTTATTGCTTGCTAAGGGAAAATAATGGATGATTACCAAAGGGAAAATAAGATATTTTTAATTATTGAGTTCGTCTGAGTTTTCAACCTAGTGCCTACGTATCCCAGAGGGAATCAGAACTCCGTAGTTCTTGTTGAAAATGTTTTTGTTAGTTGTGTGTTTTTTTATGGACGATGCTAGACATCATGCCCTTTTTGAAAAGTTTTAAAAGGAAAAGTCAAAAGACAAAAAAGTTTAAGATTTGTGAAGTGTTTTTAAGGGTTTGGAAAAACAGTTAGAGATATTATTAAAGTATTTTTGGATTTTTGATTAGGAAAAGGTTTTAGTTTTAAATGAAACGGGAAATCTAGCCTAATTCTACGACCTAATGTTGAGGTTAAAGAGGAAATCTATCCTAAAAATTATCATACAACTGTTTAATCCTAAAGTCTTCATCTGATTCAATTTAATTAAAGATCAAATGTAATCGAGATATCCTAAGGGATCATGGCAAACCATACAACCAAGCAATCAAAAGTTCACATCATAACTTCACAAGAAAATTGACAAACGAATAATCAAAGTTGACATTAAAACTTTAATTAAGGCTAATTAGAAGTTTGATTAATTAGTTAGAATTTTAAGAATTCCAATTAATCAATTAAGAATCTAATTAATCAAAATTGAAAATTTAAATTGTCATCTAAGAGTCAAATATTAAATTCAAATTAATCTCTTATGGAAAGAAGACAAATATAAAAACCAAATAAAAAAAATAAAATGAAACTAAAATAGGAATGACTTAGAAAAACACGGGCTTAGTGATTGACCCATTTCTCCTCATAAAACAACATGATAGAAAAAGAGAAAAAAATGTACTGGGTCGGATTACCCGACCCAACAATCACAATAATACGAGTTAAAAGAAGAGAAAGAATGGATCAACCACCATTCTGATCTTCTTTCTATCTTTTGATATACTCCTTTTCCTTTCTTCTTCACCCAACATTTTTTTTCTCTTCTTCATCAATCACTCGCCGACTGCTCCAAAAGAGACAGCTCCGCCGCAATTTTTTTTCCCAGCACGGTCATCTCTTTCTTACGTCGACCTCTCTCTCTCTCTCTCTCTCTCTCTCTCTCTCTCTCTCTCTCTCTCCAAGAAACCTAATCGTGCAAGACTCGCTCCACCACGCACACTCCCTCACCTATATTTTCTCGATCGCGACAGTCGTGTGGTTAAAGAATCTGTTGAAGGAGCTGAGCAGCGAAAAGGGTGACAATGTAACACTCATAGTTGACAACGTTTTTACTATAAACCTTGCTAAGAACCCTATTGCACATGAGAGAAGCAAACATATTGAGATGAAATTTCACTACTTGAGTGAACTTGTTAGTGAAGGAAAGTTGAGATTGGGGTATTGTAGAAGTGAAGACCAAGTGACCAATTTGTTGATCAAATGAGTCATAATTGAAGTGTTCAAGAGATTGAAGAAGCTAATGGACATGGAAGACTTGGAACACATGAATTAAGGTGGTGTATTAAGAGAAAAAGAGTAATTCACATGCATGTAATCGATTGACATATTAGTGTAACGGGTTACATCCCTTTATATTTGTCAAACAGAACTTACAGTAACTAAATGCAACCGATTGACATAATATGTCAACCAACTACACATGAAATATTTTAGTTAAAAAGTGAGTCAGTAGCTAAGTGCAACAAGTTGACATAATATGTCAACGTTTTACACATGAGAGTTTTCAAATTTTATTTGTTTGATAATTATACCCCATCTTTTATTATATATATATATATATATATATATATATATATATATATATATATATATATATATATATATATATATATATATATATATATATATATATATATTCTTTGGATATCTTATAAATTAATGAATGCTCATATTTTCACTCTCAATTATACTCTATCGTTCACTCTCACTCTCTACACACTCAATTATTCACCAACTTTATAATTTTAAATTTTAACATAAAATTGAAATGATAGAAAGAAGACAAAACTCAATTATTCACCAACTTTATAATTTTAAATTTTAACATAAAACTGAAATGATAGAAAGAAGACAAAATTTATGACATAAAGGAGTTTCGAAATTTAAAATCACACTCTTAAAAGCATTTATGTCAAATCAAAGAAGTTTAAAAAAAAGTTTTAGCAATGAGAAAAGAAAAACTCGAAAACTAATGGGCTCTAACACTAATAATGAATTTCCTAAATCCTCCCTAGCAACTCCTAAATTGTACTTGTACAATTAGTTATTCTCCATCTTATTTACCATTCCTTTTATAATCTCTTGC